AGGCGTTTTTGGCCCGAAAAAAACGACCATGTGTAAAACTACACATGGTCGTTTCTTTTCAGCCAAAAACACCTTACTATACTATGTAGTTTTTTTCGGTCAAAAACGCCTTACTGTACATGGTCGTTTTTTTGGGCTAAAAACGTCTTACTATACATGCTCTTTTTTTTCGGTCAAAAACGCCTCACTATACATGGTCTTTTTTTTTCGGTCAAAAACGCTTCACTATACATGGTCTTTTTTGGGGGGCTAAAAACGCCTTACTATACATGGTCGTTTTTTGGGCTAAAAACGCCTTACTTACATAGTCTGGGTTTTTTTGCCAAAAACGCCTTACTATACATGGTCTTTTTTGGGTGGTCAAAAACGGCTTACTAGACATGGTCGTTTTTTTGGGCTAAAAACGCCTTCCTATATACATGGTCGTTTTTTTTTGGCTAAAAACGCCTTTCTACTCATGGTCGTTTTTTTCGGCTAAAAATGCCTTTCTATACATGGTCCTTTTTTTCGGTCAAAAACGCCTTACTATACATGGTCTTTTTTGGGAGGTCAAAAACGCCTTCCTATACATGGTTGTTTTTGCAGCCAAAAACGCCTTCCTCTACATGGTCGTTTCTTTTCAGCCAAAAACACCTTCCTATACTATGTAGTTTTTTTCGGGCTAAAAACGCCTTACTATATATGGTCGTTTTTTTTCGGTCAAAAACGCCTTACTATACATGGTCGTTTTTTTAGACTAAAAACGACTTCCTATACATGGGATTAAATATGGGTTTAAAATTAAAGTGCAATCCGCCGTTGCTGACAAAGCATTAGTTTCTCCATGCAAATGAAGCGTCTTGTGGCACTTCTTACAGATGATGACGCATCGTTGAACTCTTTCAAACCATACATTAAAACTTGAGTGTCAAACCCTCACGCAACTTTAAAATTGTCACCCCTTTTTTGGTTCCAGTCGAGTAACAAAAACACCCGCAGCAGAAAAATATTTAATCATGTCACAAGTAACCCCACAGCCTTTCTCTGCCATCCCATCGGCTTCACCAAACGGACAAGATGCCGCTCAAGGTTAAAGATGGACTTTTGTTGACTCACGTGGCTCAAATACTGCACCGCCATCTTAGTTAATTCCTTCGACAAAAAACAAAAAATGTACGTTGCGTAGTCGCAGACGCACATGAGCACCTTTATCTGGACAAAAAAAAAAAAAAAAAGTCTTCTCCACTCAAATGCTGAGAAAGAATGACATTAAATAGTAGAATTTAAAATACTGTCATTAAAAAAAGGTAACCGCTTCAGTTTGTTCAGGAGAAAAAAAAAAGTTCAAAATAAAAACAAGCACATTTTTACTTGTGGAGCCAAACCCACCAACCATGTCATAGCTTATGTCGAACAAACACTTGAGACAAAAGAGTGTGTGTGTATGTGTGTGTGTGTGTGTGTGTGTGTGTGTGTGTGTGTGTGTGTGTGTGTGTGCGCGCATGAAGTCATCCTTCCACCCATTACCCAAACCAGATATCTCAAAAAGGAGGGGCCGCGTCCGTTCAAAAAAAAAAAAGATGAAAAAGTAGGGGAAAATTCGAAGGAAGTCCATGAAAGAAATTGGGGTGGGGGGGTTCTGCTATCTGAGGCCAGCCCGTGACGTCATCCACTCCAGACCTTGACACAAGCTAGAAAACGAAAATGAGAATCTTCCTTACAATACAAGTCGTTTTATTGTCAAATTATTCTCTTTTTTTGAAGTTAAAATGAAGAATTTTCGCTTGGAAAAGTAGCCCAGAAAATTAGGAAAATTCAGATGCTTTTTGTTATCCATAAAGCCATGTACATTTTTCGATAAAATAGTCTGGAAAATTATAAGCATTGAAGGATTTCTCCTCAAAATTTAACTCCACTTTGTGCCGTTTTGAAAATTATTTTTCCCATAAAATCACTCCTCAAAAATCGTAGGAAGCATTTTGTTTTAACATGAATCCAGTCATTTTTCTCAAAATCAAATTGTTTCAAAAACACTATTTTTTTGTGTGTGTGTGTGTGTGTGTGTAAAATACGATAGACCTGACATACTTCAATCAAGTACAACCGAGCTCAGTTTTGCGCCTGCTGGGTTTAAAAAAAAAAATAAAAAAAACATACGCTAGCATGCTATCGTATTTTTCTGGGTATCCTTCATTTTACCATGCCTCCGTCCGATAATACAAACAGCCTTGTGTTTGTGTTAAACGCAGAACTAGCACCCGTAACTGACGCTACGCTTTTTAAATACGTATGGTCGTTCAATAATTTTGTTCAATTTTTTTTTTCTCATGAGCTTCCAATGTTTATTTTCAGGTGGTGGTGGACGACGTACCCTTCCCCGGTGAGAGCGCAGCAGGACTGGATGTGCCACGGGTGATCTTTAATGGCACTCAGCGTCATATACTTTGAGATCTCAGCCGCCGACATGCAGTCCTTCATGTCCTGCTTGTTGGCGAAGATCAGCACGGCCGCTTTGCGCAGGTCCTGGAAAGGAAGGACGGACAGGCGTCACACACACAAAAATAAATAAATATATATATAAATAAATTTAAAAAAAAAAAAAAAAAGAGGAAGGTCCGGACGGCTTACCTCGTGGGCCAACATCCTGTAGAGTTCCTCTTTGGTGATGACCAGACGCTCTCGATCGGTGCTGTCCACCACCAGGATGACAAACTGCACAAACCACCACAACAAGCCAAGGGAGTTGACGAGAGCTTAGCCAAAAGGAACAAAAGATGCCGCGGGAGTCAAAAGACACGCCCCGCCTTGAAAACGGGTTCCCTCGTTTATCGCAGCGGTTCGGTTCCAAAAATAACCCGCAATAGATGAAATACGCAAAGTAGTTTTTTTTCTTAACAATCATGTTTTAAGACTGTAAAACACACCATTCACATTTTCTCACATTTCTCTCTTTTTTTTTTTTTAAACATACATTATTATTATTATCGTTGACATTTTTGTGAAATTTATTTATTTCACAACACATATAGTTGGGCAACGACACTGTAATATCACATCGTATCGTAGCAACTTTGGTGTGAGAAGACATCACGGGCAGACTTTGTGCTTCTGGGCGTAGTCGGGGGGGCTCTTTGTCAACGTTTAACCTTTGACCTGGAGCAGCCCCCCCAGCTGCCGTGTGAGCAAACACACAATCTGCCTGCCCTCATTCACGTGTCTGTGTGTGCGTGTACCTCGGTGTTGGAGTAGTACGTGTTCCAAGAAGACCTGAGGGACTCCTGTCCGCCAATGTCCCACATGAGGAAGTGTGTGTTCTTCACCACGATCTCCTCCACGTTGCTGCCGATGGTGGGCGACGTGTGGACCACCTCGTTCATCAAACTTACAGAAAGACACATTAAGTACGCCATCTACCTAGCTAGCTAGATAGCTCGAGTAAAAATATATTGCTCCTCAAAGCTAGCTAGCTAGCTAGCTAGCCACCAAAATGTTGATAAACAACACAGTGTGACGGAATGCTGTCCTTTTCATCTGTCCACAGGTGTACACAGAACTGGCAGAATAAGGAAACTAAGAGTCGCCTAATAAAAATAAAAAGTGCCTTACAACTGGTAGAGGATGGTGGTCTTGCCGGCATTGTCAAGGCCAACGATGATCACCTTGTGTTCTGTTAAAAGGGGGAAAAAAAAAAACAAAAAAACTTGTTGTTGTTGTGATAATTTAGTGAAGCCAGTGGCAGACCCGCTATTGTGCTCCCTGCTCATCCGGCAAGGAAGCGTGATTAGAGCCTTCCAGTTCAGACGAGAGTCTCGTCTGAGACTTCCTACGGCTTTGTGAAAGGGCAACAAGTATGTGCACTGTATATACAGTTGACACACCCTCACTCAAACGCCAGATTTTTAGCTAATGAGATCATTTCAAAAGCTTTATCATTACCATTCGGACCAGACAGATATGGATTTTTTTTTAGACTGATGCCAATTCCCATATTTGTCCGATTTTATTCTTTCTAAAAATAAAAGATTTGAATACAAGACGGTATTTTCCACACACGAAAAAAAAAATTCAACTGGTAAAATGAAAAGAAATTCTCAGAAAACAACCATAACTGTTGGCAAAAGAAAAAAAATCATCTGAAATTAAGCACTCGAGTTAAACAATGTTTATTTTTATCCCCACAAGAGTAATTAGTCATAACTTTTAAAATATTTTGGGAAAACATTTTTCCTAGTAAAAAGTTATTGTTCCTCATTCCAAAAACTAATTACCTAAAAAATATATAAAAAATGCTTGAAAACAAACACCTGATCAAGAGTTGTTAAACACGTTTATGATAATTGATCCTTGAGAGGGTCCACCCAGAGTGACGTAAACAACGTTGATAAAACCAAAATTAAAAGTTCCCCCCCCCCCAACTCTCTTAGGTTTGAATACAAATTACCAACTAAAATAGAAGCTCACAAAATAAAATAACGGAGAGTTTATAGAAAACACTGGCACAAAGTCAACAAAAAAGTCTGACAAAACGATTTAGCCAGTCGCATTAGTTTTGTTTTTTTTGATGAACTATTTACGTACCTTGATTACAGAAGAAGCTCCACAGTTTAGCGAATATGAGGCCCATTGTTTTTTTAAAAAATGCCAATGTCCGTTCGTCTGTCCGTTCTTTGTTCCGAACATCCGTCGGCTCGTACCGAGCTGCAACTCCACACACACGGCGGCTAAGCTAAGCTAAGGTGCAAGCTCACAGCGACTTTTCCTGCAAAGCGGACTCCATGCGCCCCTGGAGACATCTCCCAAGGTGGCGGCGCGAGGCGAAACACGACTCGGGTTTTTTTTTTAAATTTTTATAGAGAGTTTTGGTATCAAAACAGCTGCGCAGAATTGCGGTTTGTGCGATGTGCCCGTCCGTCCGTCAGTCAGTCCTCCTCGGCATCTACTGGGCTGGCTCCAGCGGAAAAAAAGCCACATAGTGAATGGATTGCTTCAGACGTCATCACGACACGACGCGTTCACATCTTTTCCCCCCTAATACAAAATGAAACAAATAAAACTATGTCAATAAGCATGACATGAAAAACCCTAGTGACTTTGATAAGAAGACAAATTTTAAAAAATATTGTTCGTTAAAAAAGAGACTTATTTAAGAAACAACTTATGTTTAGGGTTTTTTTTTGTGTGTGTTATAGCACAGAGGAAAGGAGGCCTTTCTGTTGAGGTTATCACACACCGAGACGTACACATTTCTCCAAAAAAAAAATATATGGACAAACATAAAAATGAAATAAAGACTCGGTAGACAAGTATTCTACCACTCGTTGATGGCGTCATCACGTAACCACGCCTTCACGTTTTCCCCGTAAAAAAAATTCCCCTTCACTAAACACGACATGATTTAATGCTACCTATTTCTCATATAGGTACTTTAAAACTAAAAGTTTTGTGCTTTTTGGAATATCTCGCCAGTGACGTATGCGGAAGTGGAAGCACCGGCAATGCCCAGAGCAAAGCTTTGCTGGTGCCTTGCTGCGACAAAAGTGGACAATTTAACACAGTAGAGAGGCGTGTTGTAAAATTATCCACAATGGGAACAATCGGCGAACAATAGTGTGTGTGTAGATCATGACTTTAATTATGCAAACATTGAAGGAGAGTTGTAATTTGCTCTGTTTGTATTCCTCGACGCTGTTGTGTCAACGCTCACGCTAATATCGCTACAAAAACAGACAAAATGTCGGTTTTTCCGAAAATTTCTCTGAGGCCGGAGGTCGCCGATTACCTGAAAGGCGTGTTCATGAACAAGGAGGTATGTTTTGATGAAAATACGCACATTTTCTGTCACGGCAGTGGAAGAAGTCATGATTATCCCAATAGAGTATCGTTTCACTGTGATCCTACACGTGAGGGAGCCTTCGCAATTGGATTTTGTAAACAAAGCCAACATGCTTTGTTTACAAAGCAATTGATGGAAGTAAGAAGAAAAAAAGATACCCTGTATGTTCAATATTGACATTAGGGTGTTTTTATGTGCTGTACAATGTGGTGACTTCAAAATAATGTGCGTTTAAACATTTGACTATTTTGTGATGGAATGAAACTCGCAAGTTGTTGGCGTCCATTGGTCATCGGGAAGCCGAGTGCCATTTCCAGACGCTTCTCACCTGCTTGTCGCACCCTCCGTCTTACACGTGTGTCCGGGCGAGCGTCCACCTAGCGCCGCTGGAAGAGATAAGACGTAAACTGGACGAGGAGCTAAGGAGGGTGAGATTAAAAGAAAAAATTGACCTGTGAGTTGTCAGCAAAAAATATAACGCTTACATTTGTTGACGAGAGTAGCAAAAGTGTGCATCGGAGGAGGAGATCGAGATCGTCCCACATCCCTGCGTTCCGGATGTGCTTCTGATCCCTGTGGTCGGACCTAGGTACGAGTCTGCAGCTATGCTTAAAAAAAAAAAAAAAGAGTTTTAACCCATATTGGGTTATTTTTGAACCCGGCAGTTTTATTTCCTTAAAAGTACAATTTTAAAACTAATTTGAAAATATTTTTCTCTCTAAAATGGTCTTGCTTTTTTCTATTGAAATTCAGAGGAAAAAAAATCCTCAATCATTTTTTTTTTTTAATGACTTTTCCAGATGTGTGCAGCAGCTCAGCTCCGAGGTGGTGGCAGGCGCACAGTGCGGCAATGCTGTGCTAAGAGGCGCTCACGTCTTTGCCCCCGGGATACTCGCGTGTCCAAAATGTAAATACCATTTAAAGGCAAAAATCCAATGTGGTGACATCATCATAAATTAAATGTTTGTTTTTTTTACCCCTTCATAAAATTAATATATTCATATATAAACACACACACACAAAACATCACTCAATTATAATTTGAGAGTAGTTTCTCATCAAAATATTAATTTGTGTATTCACACACACAAAACATCACTCAGTTATAATTTTCAGAGTAGTTTCTCATCAAAATATTAATTTGTGTATTTTCTCAAGATATATTTTTTCCAACATTTTTATAATCCTGCAAATTTAAGTAATAGTCCGTAAAGTTCACAATTTTTTCAGCTCAAAAAAATTACGATTTTCTTCTGCGAAAACAAAATGCTTTCGAAAAAATGTTTTCCCCAAAATTTGTGTTTCAGACATGAAAGCCGGAGATGCAGTGTCTGTGTTCTCTGACGTCGAGGGAAAATGTACCCGCGGAGCATTCAGTTTCTCTGGCAAGAGGACATTTGTGGGAAACGGCGTGGCTGAAAAAGACCGTGCCGACATTTTTGGCACGGGAGAAACCGTTAGGTAGTGAAAAAGTATTTTCGATAACATAATATTACATTCCTAATATCACATTATGCATCTTAAATTATTAACTGTCATTTGTCGAATGCCACGTCAGCCTGACACACAAGATGGGAGATGACAGGGCGAAACGTGAGATTAGCGACCCCAAGCGGATAAAAGTAATACCTGCACCCCATTTTAAAATAAAATGTTATCCGTTTAATTGATTGCATAAGTGGAATGTAAAATTCTAAAAACATTTGATTGCCACTACTTATAATCGTGGCCATAAAGAAAGACTTTTGAATTTGGCTGACATCACACATGACGACGTCTCCATTTTCATACATGGCAATTTTCCGCGGATCCGCGGAAATCCGCCGTTTTATTTCTTAAATTGATCATTTTTGTGAATCGTCTAAATCCGTTGAGAAAATTTTAGGGGCGGTCAGGTACCTTATCGTCGAGTTTTCATCCAAAATGTAAATACCATTTAAAGACAAAAATCCAATGTGGTGACATCATCATAAATTAAATGTTTTTTTTTTTTACCCCTTCATAAAATTAATATATTCATATATAAACACACACACACAAAACATCACTCAATTATAATTTGAGAGTAGTTTCTCATCAAAATATTAATTTGTGTATTTTCTCAAGATATATTTTTTCCAACATTTTTATAATCCTGCAAATTTAAGTAATAGTCCGTAAAGTTCACAATTTTTTCAGCTCAAAAAAATTACGATTTTCTTCTGCGAAAACAAAATGCTTTCGAAAAAATGTTTTCCCCAAAATTTGTGTTTCAGACATGAAAGCCGGAGATGCAGTGTCTGTGTTCTCTGACGTGGAGGGAAAATGTACCCGCGGAGCATTCAGTTTCTCTGGCAAGAGGACATTTGTGGGAAACGGCGTGGCTGAAAAAGACCGTGCCGACATTTTTGGCACGGGAGAAACCGTTAGGTAGTGAAAAAGTATTTTCGATAACATAATATTACATTCCTAATATCACATTATGCATCTTAAATTATTAACTGTCATTTGTCGAATGCCACGTCAGCCTGACACACAAGATGGGAGATGACAGGGCGAAACGTGAGATTAGCGACCCCAAGCGGATAAAAATAATACCTGCACCATATTTTAAAATAAAATGTTATCCGTTTAATTGATCGTATAAGCGGAATGATAAAGTCTAAAAACATTTGATTGCCACTACTTATAATCGTGGCCATAAAGAAAGACTTTTGAATTTGGCTGACATCACACATGATGATGTCTCCATTTTGTTATCATCTTATGATCGTCACACTTTACCACTGCTGAAAACAAGACAAAGAAAAAGCTAGATTTGTGTGGACGGTGACAACTGCAGACACGCGACGATGGCTTGAAATCCCAAGTTTTGAGTTGCCTGTCTTGCGTTCCCAGGGGCGTTGGCGTGCGTATGACGGAGCCCCTCTACCGGAGTCCCTCCTTTGATGGAGTGTTACCTCACCTGGCCTTCCTACAGGTAAAGTCGTGAATCCAAGTTTTGAGTTACCTGTCTTGCGTTCCAGGGGCGTTGGCGTGCGTATGACGGAGCCCCTTTACCGGAGTCCCTCCTTTGATGGAGTGCTACCTCACCTGGCCTTCCTACAGGTAAAGTCGTGAAACGAATTTGGAAATTTGAAGAAAAAAAAAAACAACAACAACAAATAAAAATATATGTCAGAATCTTCCATCTGTGGTGGTGGGCCACGTTCTGGGTCCTCGTCCCGGAGAGCGTATCCTGGACATGTGCGCTGCCCCGGGCGGGAAGACGTGCCACATTGCCGCCCTCATGGAGGATCGGGTATACTGCAAAAGGACATTCCGACCGCCTTATCTCTCTCACATTTGGTTAATTTCACATTTTTATTCTAAATTTTTTTTGTCCTCAGGGTGAAGTGGTGGCCCTGGACAGGATCCGAAACAAGATGGAGCTGATTCGTCGGAATGCCGAAATGTTACAGTTGCGCAGCGTGAAGGCGTTTTGCTTCAACAGCACCAAAGTTGTAAGCAACGACATCATCGGGGATAGAGAAGGTGACGTCATCGCCTCACTTCCACAGCCCTGACTGCAGCTTCCTGAGCTCTTGTGACCATCTTTGTCTTTATCATACTGCCCCCTGGTGGCCATGACGCACATGGCAGAATGAATTCATGATTACATGATGCACAAATTGTTGATATTTAAATTCGAGTTAATTATGTTGTAGGTTGTTTTTTTTAATCGAGTCTGATTGTAGCTTACTTTTTTTTTTTTGCTGTATTTTGGGATGCTCGACCGAATTAACGACATGACTGACCACCATTCCGCTCACCCTTCCCCGTTCTTGCCCGTTCTCCAGGGCCACCATTCCCTCCCGAGAGCTTTGACCGCGTGCTTTTGGATGCGCCCTGCAGCGGTCTCGGCCAAAGGCCAAACATGGCGAGCACCTGGAGTCTGAAGGAGGTTTGCTCCTACCCGCCCCTCCAAAGAAGCCTCTTCCATGCTGTAAGGACACTATGCTTTACTCGCTTTTCGGCACTAGATAGCAGTAAAGAGTCACACTTGCAACACTACTTGCCAGTTGGACAAATTCAGGATGTTAAATTAATTAATACATGACCCGGTGGCATTGTTTGAATAGTTAAGTCCATTCATCCATCCATTACCTGAATCGCTTCTCCTCACACGGGTCACGGGCGGGGCTGGAGCCTGTCCCAGCTGGCTTGGTACAAACATTTATCAACTGCTGAAAGTGAGCACATCTTGTATTCGTCAGTTTAAAATGAGTATTAATACTTGCAGTGGGGAAAAATGTGCGTTTTGTACTTGCAGGCGGTGCGCGCATTAAAGCGTGGCGGCGTCCTGGTGTACAGTACGTGCACGTTGACACTGGCGGAGAACGAAGAGCAGGTGGCCTGGGCACTTCGCACCTTCCCCGGACTCACCCTGCTGCCTCAGGTAAGAAGACCAACAACGCCATCTGGGTTTGTTTTTTTTTGCTCTCCTTGGACGCTCAATTGATTGGCTCGCCTTTCCAGGAGCCTCACGTGGGGGGCGAGGGCATGCCCGGTGCGGGTTTGATCCCGGAGCAGCTCAGCCTCCTCCAGAGGTTCCGACCCGAGTTGAGCTGGAAGGCCACCGCCGCAACGCCCCTCGCAAGCAGGGCTGACAGCGACACCATCGGATTCTTTATCGCCAAGTTTCAGAAAAACTGACTCACCCCCTGGCGGGGATGCTCAGGAACAAAAGTACACTTGGATGCAAATTTTATATATATCAGTGTTTTGATGAATACATTTTAAAGTGTTTACACTTTAACCGATGTTGCTACGTTTATTATGGAACAGGCCATGTCACTTGAAATTATTCACACTGAAATAATGTTGCTGTAGATTTAAACAAATAAGGATCTGTCTTTTCATTTTTATACTGAATTTTTTTTAAAGACCCATCTTTATCTGTATACACAAATAGGGTGAAACGATAATGCTACTCATATAAATTAAAAAAAATAAATCTTTTCATGTTAAAAAAAAAAGTGCTGCGTCATGTCAATAAAATCCCTCTCAAGCGTGTGCCTCTTAGCAGGCAATGTCGGGATAAGCCGTAGAAACAGAGTTAGACGGCGAACGCAGCGGCGTTGCTGTGACAACGGTGACGACACCGTTGCCATCGGAGACGGCGGATTCCTCTCCGGCGCGCGCAGTCCAGGAAGCGGTGGGGGTCACGACAGATATGAATTTATTGGAGCCAGTGAAAATGGAGTTAGCGCATCTTAAGGATCATTTACAGATCTTTGTCGAGCTGGCAGGATTCCCAGGAAAACACCGCGGTGCTCCACTCCGGGCCTATTTTAGTCTCATCACCCCCCCCCCTTGGTGGTGATGTTGCCTTGACGACGGCCCCGCGCGAGCCTACCTCAATTTTTCAGTAGCGTTTAAAGAGCGAAAGGGAAGAAGAAAAACTATTTATAGACGGGGGCTGCCTGGGTGTTTTCAAAAGAGCAACGCAACTATTCTAGGAGCCTTTACGACACGTTTAAAAACTTGCCCTGCTATCAATGTAGCCTTAAAAAAAAAGAAGATATATTTGATGTAGAATTTGAGCGCTCTCCCTACCCTGACGATGCTGATCGATTCTCGTGTGATGTGGAATGGGATAGAATAGTTTCCTTCACCGATCATCTTAAAGTGGTCGAGGTCGACCATTGTAAATGTTACGCAAGCATACATATCGATGATCGGGCCAAATGTGACTTTTGCTGGTTCCACCGTACCGTTAGATTTCAAACTTCTGGAGGTTGAAGTTTCAAAAGCTCCCGAGTGAGATGAAAGAGTGTTTTTACCGTAGAAGCTCAAACATGAATTTGGTGTGTTATCGAACATCAGGAGTGGGCAAATTATGGAATGACGTCTTCTACATGACCAAGGTTTTTTTTTTTTTTTAACCTAAATTGGTTAATTAAAAAGCATGTATCCATTTTTTTTCTTCGCCTTTTGTTCTTTTTGTCATTAAAACGTGCTCAGCTGACTTATTGTACGTAAAATCAAATAAAAGTTAAAATGATAATTACACAATTAGCTGATTCTAATTACGCTCTCTAAATCAAACGTTTTTTAAAAAGGAGTCAAATTATTTTTGGGTTTAACGGACAACGATTGCTAAATGAATTAGAATTACATCAATTATAAATCAAATTCAAAAAAACGGCGTAATAAAAGAGTTTGCATGTTCTCCCCGGGCCTGTGTGGGTTTTTTCCAGGTACTCCGGTTTCCTCCCACATTCCAAAAACATGCATCATAGGTTAACAGAACACTCGAAATTGTCTCTAGGTGTGATTGTGAGCGCCAATGGTTGTTTGTCTCTGTGTGCCTTGCGATTGATTGGCAACCAGTTCAGGGTGTACCTCAACTGCCCGAAGACTGCTGAGATAGGCTCCAGCACACCCGCATGAGGATAAAGCGGTTGGGAACATGAAATCTGAATTAACCAGACAAATCCATAATTAAAATGAAAAAAAAATGTGTATAGTATATTTAGACATTTTCAATTTGGTTTTTTGGGGGGGGGGGGGGGGAACCACATCTCCAAATGTCGTGGCCCCTCTGCCGCAAAACTTTGCCCGCCTCTGATGGACACTGTATTGCATTCCCTCATGCGAAAAGAAGGCGGCGATAGACTTACTGTTCCTCCCACAGCTATAAAAACGCCAACAAACGACTTTCCACGAACACAAAGAACGGCATAATCACTCGACCGATCGATTCTGGAAGGCTGTCTGAAAGATAAAAACATCAGTGAAGTAGTTGCAGGTTGAAAATAGTAACGAAGGGGAGGGAAAAAAAAAAATCACAGCTCAGGACGTGTACAAAAAGTCATGCTTTTTCTTTTATCAAATATGCATATTAGAGTGAACATTCATGCATATCCAGAAGGATCTATGTGCAGATACAGGCGTATGGAGATATAAAAAGCCTCCGTACTCCTGTTCAAATGCCAGACTTTTGTCATTAAAAGAGAGTCAGACCACGTCAGACTCGTTCCACCATTAATGTGACCTAAAACCTTCCAAAACAAACAAACAAAAAAAAGGAAAAATAAAATGTGAAATTGTGTTTCCTCAAGTGTGCACACCCTCTTATAAGTGAACCAATCACATTCGAGCACATGAGTGTCAGTACACACCTGCAATGAAGTCCTTATTCATTCTGAATAAAGTTCAGATGTTCTAGTTGGCTTTCTGATTTTTTTTTAATTTTTTTTAATGTATTTATTTGCTTAGTTCGGGGGCAGCACGGTGGTTGACTGGTTTCATCCGCCGCACAGTGCAGATGTCACGGGTTCGCATCCGGCTGCGGCCTCCCTGTGTGGAGTTTGGATGTTCGTCCCCGTGCCTGTGTGGCTTTTCTCCGGGTACTCCGGTTTCCTGCCACATTCCATGCATTGTGGGTTAACTGAACACTCTAAATTCTCGATAGGTGTGACTATGAGGGTGAAGGGTTGTTCGTCTGTACCAGCGATGCCTTCCATTCACTCTGAATAAAGTTCAGATGTTCTAGTCGGCTTTCCTGACATGGTCAGACGATACTTGGTCTTTTTTTTTTTAAATGACAAAAACCTGGCATTTGAAGAGGGGTGTGCAGACTTTTCAAATCCACTCTATGCTTGTATCCACATCATAGAAACGCTGCCGTCAAAAACCGGAAGGAAGTGGATATAAATAGGATGCGGTGGTTTGGAGGTGTAGCAGCACAAACGGAGGGAGGAAATGGATCCTCGGGGAGGGCAGTTCAAAGGCGGTCTACTGGGGGATGTACGAGTCTCCCGCCCATTCCCCTGCGTCGCCCCTCTTTTTGGGCTCTCTGTTGTAGTGGTGGTGGTCCCGCGCCGGCCTTTGTTGTTGTTGTTGTTGTTGATGGTGATGGTGGTGAGTGCGCTGCTTGTTACGTTCATTGTGGTCCTGTTCGCGTTCCTTGGAACGATGATGGTGGTGGTGATGATGATGGTGGTTGTGGTCCCGGTGGGCTTGCTGGGGCTCTCTTAAGTCCTCCTCCTCCTCTTCTTGCTCCTCCTCCTCCTCCTCCTCCGCCTCTTCCTGCTCGGCGTCCTGCTGCTGGTGCTGGTGGAGGAGCTGAGTGCGAGGCTCCGTGTAAGCGGCGTCCTTGTTCTCGCGGCTCTCGGGGCTCTCCGAGTCCAGAGTCTCCTGCCGGGCGAGGCCCCTGCTTCGGTGGTGGTGGTGATGGTGGTGGTGTCGGTGGTGGTGGTGGTGGTGGTTGTGGTGCTCAGTCCTGGCGGAATAAGAGCGGTGCTGGGCGGGAGGCGGTCCTCTCCTGGACGACTCGGTCCTCAGCGGGCGCTCCTCCTCGTCGGCGCCGTCCTCCTCGCCGTCGGCCTGGTCCTGGTCCTGGTTCTGGTGGTGGTGGTGGTGGTGATGGTGGTGGTACTCTCTGGAGCCCTTCCTCTCCACGAGCGCCTTGTCTGATCGATGTTCGGCTCCGCCACCCTGACGTGGAACGCGAGGGAATATTAGCCAAGCAATGTTGCAATATTAATGTTGGGATAGTTACTACATTTTGTTGTGAATTTGATTGGTCAAATTTATTATTTTTTTTGCTAAAATACATGAAATGCTTCTTTTTTAAATGTAAATTTTCATTCATTTCAATCATTTTAGTGCTTTTTGATTGGCTGGGAGTAATTTTGCCTTTTGTTCTTACTGTATTATATATTTTAATGTTTTTTTTAATTTAGTTTTACTCTTGTATTAATTCTTTTTCATTGTCATTTCAAAATTGCAATTCACGTACCGTATTGGCCCGAATATAAGACGGCCCTGATTATAAGACGACGCCCTCTTTTTCAAAACTCAAGTTTGAAAAAAGACTTTTTGAATACCAAATTCATTTTTATACAGAAAATAATTACAGTACATCTGAAAGAAATGATTAGAACAATATATTTGAGAGAAAAAGCATGTATTTTGCCTCATTCAAATCTTAATATCTGAGCATTTAAAGATGTAAACTAAAATGCAATCACATTCGTAAATGAATGGCTTCTGGTTTTTGAAATGTAAATGACATCATAACTTCTCCTCAGCTGCCGGTTAACCTGGCCGATCTTCGATCCACTTTTCTCCAGATTGTCACGACGTTTCTCCATTTTCTGTTATCTCTTCAATTATTTTCGTCTCTTTTCTTTCTTCCCGCTATTTTTTGTTTTTCTCCTTCGTGCTACCGCTATTTTTATTTTTATTCTTCGTGACAGGGGTTTGCTTTGGCCTGGGGAGTCAAGTTCAGCATTCGCTTCAATGGTATCTGGCGCCATCTAGCGTCGTGAATGGGTATAATGTCTCAACCCCGAATATAAGACGACCCCCACTGTTTCAGTCTTATTTCAATGCAAAAAACACCGTCTTATATTCGGGCCAATACGGTGTTTTTACATCAATATTACAAGATACTATAATTAAAATATAATATTGATAATAGATATTTTGCAATACATGTATTATTCGGCAGCACTAGAACAGCGTCCAATGTCTAATCGACATTGACACAGAATAGCTCGTGTTCAAACCTCAATGCGTTGATATAATTGACACGTGGTGATGATTCGATACCTGCACGCCTGAGGAGGAGGGCAAGGTGGCAGCGGGCATCTTGGTCAGCAGCGGGTCCGGGGCGTCGCAGCTGTTGGGGTGGGTGCTCTTCCAATAGGCCTCCAGGTAGTCGGCCATGTGCTCGCACGCGTCCTCCAGTTGGTTCTCGTCCAGGATGATATCAAACATCTCCTGAGGGGTCGGCCGAGAGAAAACCCATGTCGAAAAGCAAAACGACGACGGCAAAAATAAACAACGAACAAGTGTGGTGGTTTGCGGTTCACTGTGGTGGCTTACGGGCGGGCACTGCGCCAGCTTGTCGGCCGCCACCATCTGGACGTTGAGGTGTTTGGCCTGAGACTTGCCTCGCGACTTAATGAGTCTCTGCAGCACCTGAAACAGGAAATTTAAAAAATATATACCGGTATTTAACAGGCCTCATCTAAAATATTGACCTATTTGTAGTGTTATAATTAATGATGAATATTAAAAAAGTATTTTTATTTTTTAAATGTTATATTTTATTGAAATATTTGTATTTAAATTTAAATGTACTGTTTTTATTTTAATATTTGTATTTAAATATAAATTGTCATAATTTTATTGAAATATTTGTATTCAAATATAAAATGTAGTAATATTTCAAAATAAAAATAATGCTAAACCAATCCTAAATAAATCATAAAAATGCTGTCAAATAAGCTTCTCCGATATGTTGCGTTGGATGTTTCTCATCTCTTAACAGATGAGCGGTTTCCTTCTCCACACAATGTAAATCGACGGGATAGCGTCCACATTGCCATCATGCGGGCGTTCTTCTCTTGAGCGACGCTCACCTTGGGGGAGGTGATCTTGACGTAGACGATAATGGGGGCCAGGGACGTCTTGCCCAGCTGGGATGGGTGGTTGATGGTGTCCGCATCCAGGATGACAAGCTGCAGCGTCCGCGCTAGCTCGAAGATACGTTCCCTCTCTCTCTGGACCTCGGCTAAAAAAAAAAGAGGGACAATTAAAAATATTTGAAGGACATTTGGGGGAATAAAGGAGGCGGCTCAGAGTGACTGGTGACATAAGAAAACGTCACGGCGAGAAGTTGGTTGTTTGGACAATAGCTACATGACAACTTCTTCTGTTCCAGCTAAATGAGCAGGATAGCACATTTTTTTTCTTCACATCAATAATCGATCGTTTCGGTCAGGATCGTTGGGATGTGAAATTTCTCAATTCTCCACGACATACCGCAAGACCACCACCTTACCCAAGTTGGAGCGCGTGTTGGAGCGCTCGATGATGGCGTGCTTGCTCGGATGGTTCAGGACGGAGCGCTTGGCGAGCGAGATGTCCGCCGTGACGCGAGTGATGGAGATTCTGCGGGGCAAAACAAAACAAAAAAAAAACGGCAAGGTTAGACAAGGGCAAGGCGAACCCTCATTTTTATTTTTGTGTCATGTAATGATATGTACATGGAATGGTTGTAAGGCCCAAACTGGAGGCGCACCAATAATTCTTTCTCTCTTTAAATATGGAAAGAGTGAATGCGGCACCTGTGAAGTTGTGTGTGTGTGTGTGTGTGTACTGTAAATATTTGAAGAATACTGCTTGTGTGTGTGTGTGTGTGTGTGTGTGTACACAGATATGTGTTCCCTGCCTCAGACGAGTCCGCGCTGAAAAAACAGAATCCTGCTCGGCCTCAAAGAAGTCCACCATGGCCTATTAAGGGCATGCCTATTTAAAGCAGCGACACACTCGCTTCTCCCCGGGCCAACTTGTTACTCACTCCCCAGGGGAAAGGGTGGTGGGATGGTGGCAATTCAATCATTTTTCCTGTGGCATGAAAATTTCGGAGGGATTTTAATTTTTTTGTATCGGTTACGGTTTGTTTACCCTCGACTGATTTTGGCCCCTCTTCACGGGGCCAAGAAATGTAATCGTCGAGCTGCGCCGCTCGCTGGAAATGATTTAACGTGCTGGCGTTTCGCTTCTTCTTGAGTTTTACCGACCGTCTATTTCTGTAAGATGCCGCACGTCAACGACGGGGCTCAAAACGCACCTCGTAGCCCTTCAGTGACGGTCCAACGAGAACCACGGGCCGCATGGAAGGCACCACATCGTATGGAGGAATGTGTTCCGTCTGCAGAGAGCAAGCAGACCGATTCAAAACGTGGACGCGCAACAAGACGACATTTCATTCAGCGATCATCTCGTTTCACAAGCGCGAATGCCATCGCAAGCTTTGGCCACAAATCAGTGAACAAGGGAGAAAAAAAAAGTCAGGCGTGGAAGCTCAGTGTGTGTCACGTGTCATCGTCATGGCAATCCAAAGGTTCTTTATTTTTCGACATTGGAGGATAGGCCAGAAGAGGAAGGCGGAGTCAGTAGCCATGTGCAACTTACCGACTTCTGCTTCTGCTTGGCTGCGGTGAGCAGAGAGAGAGAGAGAGAGAGAGAAACATTTAAGAAGATGAAGAAACGCGCATGCTGGCGTTGCTTGCCGAAGGACAGGAAGATGCAGCATTCGCCGAGCGCAGGAACTCGGAAAGAAGGAAGTTGCCGCCGTCCGGTTTACCTTCTTAAAAAAGGGCATTCGTTTTTCTTTTGCTAAGGGGGACGTGACAGTGTTAGCGCCGCATCGAGGGGAGCGCAGGTTGACCGGTGGCTCATTGTCGTCGGGGTCTAACCCTGCGGCGTCTATGTCAACGGCTGTCAACGGCGGTTAAGAATGATCAAGGTGGGGAATAGAACAGAACGGAATGGCGGACTGACGACGCGCGACACTTACCGGACGAAGGAGGAGTAGACTTCCGGGAGTTTGAAACTACTTCACCTAAACTTGAGGAGGAGTTTGCTCCCAGTTTGCTGAAACAATACGGAAATGCTGCCGAATGAGATCAAGGCTTGAGAGATGCCCAAAGACGTTTAAAAACGTCTTTGGGAGTGACTGAGTTTCAATATATATATATTTTTTTTTACCTGGAATGGAACTTGCCCTGTTTGGCTCTCTGCTCTTGGAGGACTCGAGTGTTTTCCAGCTTCACCGGACTGGGAATGAAACCGATCTCGCAGCCTTCCTTCACCAGGCGCCCTATCCACCAGTCGTTGTTGAATTTCTACGACAAAGCGACGCAAAGCTCTTCAGCTGTTCACTTCCACCGGGAAAAGGTGACGTGACGCCGCGATCGGGGTTGTCACCTCTTTGACGTGAAGGAAATCTTTGGCCTCGAAGGAGAGCGCCATGCCGGGTACGGGCACATCGTCGTCGTGACTGGGGCTGTAGTTGACGTTTGTGCGGACGGCAAACGCGACTGGTTTTGTCTGCCGGCACAGCGAATGAACCGGATGAACTAGTTGCTTGTCGTGTGCTCGCGCTAGTCTCGCCAAGCTATTCTGATTCTTCATGCATCTCTGAGGGCTGCCATTGTAGCCTGACATCGCCCTCTGCTGTCGTTGACTGGAATTGACGTCAAACTGCCCTCAGGCTCGCATTGCTCACACCGCGAGACCGAGGCCACAAAAAACAGGTGAACTGCGACATTCGCAATGCGAACCACAGAATTCTTTAAAAAATATATATCAATAAATCATCTCTCCGCATTGCGTATCTGCAATACATCTGCAAAACACTTTCTGGACAGACAAACAAGGCTTTGCATGTCATGGGCAAGATCATCACGTTCTGTGCAGATTGTCACATGACTGCAAGTGAAGGTTTCGCGGGGGTGGTCCGGTGTGTATTCCTGGCTTCACAACATCTTAAAAGCTTCATCCGTGCAGGATAGCAAAAGCCTCACGCTCTCACGCCCGCCGACCCAATCGGAGCTCTCCGTTGCCGCTTACGCAACTCGAGCTCTCACTCGGGAAGCCATATTGACAGCGGTGTGTGTGTGTGTGTGTGTTTGTGTGTGTGTGTGGGTGGGGGATGTAGACGGGTGGGGGGTTGTGAAAACAAAATTCAAACGTATGCATCCATGTTTAGGTTCCATGGGAGCTAATTGTTGATGATTGAATACAAATCTTATTCTAAATTCATGGTCCCCCTAATTAAGAGATTATTTTTGCGCGGTTACTCTTTCGGTCTCACTCTTGTTGATAATATTGAGTGTAATTCTACTATCAACCACGAGATAGCGCAACACTTATTGAGCTTGAGACAGCAAATTTGAAAGAACGAAACAGGAAGTACTGTATTTCAGCACAGCCTCGTTTTTGTTCTCATCAGTTGTAATCCTGCTTTTTACGCCTACAGCCCATTTTTTTTTAGGTTTGTCATATCGGTCGCGATGATTGCGACGTTTTGCGGTTGCGAGCGATGTTCACACTGAGGCTTTTTCGCTTCATTCGTTACAACTCTACAACTTGTCTTGCTTTCGCAAGGTCTTCGACGTAAGCGCTAAGACGTTCGAATGATTTTTGCATCTTTAACTTATGCTTGTGAACCACAGACATTTTTTTAAAGGTTATAAACAACCAAAATAATCCTCAAAAAATGCTTGTCATTTATTCAAGCTGCAACTTCTTTTTGTTCCGACATGAACAACCGGAGACCAGATGATCGGTCGATGAAAGACAAGAGCAGAGCTGTCCATTTTTTTTCTTTCGGCTTTCTCATTTTCAATCCATTCCTTCTTTTGCTGAAAAATTTGGTCCTGTATCTTGAGTTTGCAATTGCAAATCAAAGCAAAAAAAAAAAAAAAAAAAAGTCAGAATGACGTATCGCCACACACTAATTGCAACCCTCCCAGAGAACACAAAGCACGGCTTAGAATAAACAGCGCGCACCTCCCACACAGTTCCAACAATTCCATTTTCCTCCAGATCCAGAAAAAAAAAAATGTGGCTAAAATTTGCAAGATAGAGACTCCCCCAACCCCGGCAACACTTTCCTTAATGACCTCAACCATTTCTAACGGCCACATTCTGGCCCGCACAGGTGGCGAACAGTTCTCGAGATGTGCAAACTGCTGCAAAATTTGTTTTGGCTCCGGTGGTGGGTTCTGCACTCGAAAATATTACTTTATGATTTGCGATCTGGTTCTTGTGATAGCGATTTGGGTGCGGCTGCCGGTCTCAGGCACGGCGGGTGGCGTACCTTGGCCTTGTCAAGTTGCGCCTGAGCTTGTCTCTCTGCCTCTCGACGCACTGCCTCCTTGTCCTCCTCCAGAGACACATCTGAGTCCGATGGACGGCTGGTGTAGGAATCGGCCGAACCCTGCGGAGGCGACGCAACACACTTGGTTGATTTGACTTCTTCTCCAGACAGGCAGCTTTTATTTTGCTTTAAAATATTCCAATTCCATCCTGGGATACTTAAGACTCCTGACAAGTTTTTTTTTTTGTCCTTTATGCTTAAAACTGGAGCACCTGAGTTATATAAGAACAACAACCGACTAAAAACAAACAAAAATAAAGCAAAACTAGAGGATACATAAGTAAAGTAAAGCACCTGGAAAAAGAGAGAAAGATGCTGTTGATACAATATTTCGATAAAATAATAATAAAGCACCTACAAAAGAAAGAGGACAGTATTGACCAAATTAAAAAAAAAAAAAAATGTTAGTGCCAACTAAAAACATTTGAAAAAACAAAAACAAAGAAAATATTTAAAAATAAAAAATACACCACCTGCACAAATGCAAAAAAAAAATCAAAATCTAGATGAAAAGTAGGTAAAAGCACCCGAAAGAATACGTCAAAAAGCCGCAAGCATAAAACCTGAATGAACAAAAGAATACAAATAAATGAACAAATTAATGACAAGAAAAAATATATAAATACAGCACCATAAAAGTGAGGGGAAATATGTTACCTGTAAAAAAAAATATATATATATTTTTTTAAATTAATATCAATAAATTAAGATCAATAGCGAAATAAAATAAATACAAAGCACCTCAGTTAATATTGACGTGCTTGCATAAAAAAATTAAAACCTATCAAGCAATCTGCGGGAACAAGAGCGAAAAATGTGAATTAAATCATTTTATCTGTGGTTTTATTGTTCCTGTTTTGATTGTCAGGTGTCCTTGAGTGTTTTGAAAGGCGCTTATAAATAAAATGCGTCATTATTATTATTATTAAAATCAGCACGTGAGAAAAGAAATGAAATAAGTGAAAGTACATTTCTGGGCTCTTATTTTTGTATGACCGTTCTACATTCTGAACATCATATTCTCCCTTCAGCAAAGGCACATTAAACGCATCGAAAACAATCACGAGATGAATTCCAACCCACGGCCCTACAAGGACGTTTCGCTTTCGCGGGTCGAAAGGTGTCGAACGTGCGAGGATCGGAGGCTCGTCCGCAACTTTTGACACCCACTCGAGCTGCTTTTCATTCATCTCGCCGCGCCACCACAACACGCCGCCGTCTGAGTTAAAAATAGCCTTTCCCCCTCGCTCAGCGGTGCCCCGTTCGAATCATCCGGCCGTCGACGGTACCTGATTCACGGGGGATGGCAGCGCTGTTGCGATGATGCAAGGAGAGTCGGACTGGTGCAAAAAAAAAAAAGCGTGGCGGCGGCATGCGGCGCCTGCTTCCGTTGCATGTCTTGATTATTGTGACCGCTGCTGACAAAAAAAGCAGCAGGAACAATACGGAAGTGTTTGTTTGTGTGATCTGCTCATATTCAGCCAAATGCGTCGGAACGGTCGCCCCGACCCGAATCCTATTGAGCATGCATTTCACTTGCCGACGACAAAAAAACGGAAGGGAATATGATCGAGAGGAACTTAAGCTGCAGGCGGAGGATCAACGGGGATGAAATCCAGCATCTGGGAGTTCCTGATTTGAGGCTCCGATTGGCCGCAAAGGATTTGTCATGTTACTTTTGGTCCCTGAAAAAGTGGGAGGCATACATACATCTTTTTTGACTCCAAAAAAATAGTTTGGGATTTTACATTATAGTTCGCTTTTGGACTTTTTTCGAGCAGGTTTGTTCGTTTTTACGAGATTTTACGTTTTCCCCCCGAAAAAGCGTCGTGAAAGCTCAGCGGTAGGCATGGCTTGGCTTCACACATGCAAGAAAGCAGCAGGAACAAACCCGGACGGGGGAAACAACTTTTGCGAGCGCGTTGCTTACGTAGGCATCCGAGCTCTTGACGCGACCTCCCTTAGCTCTTTTCAGCAGGCGGATCCAGGTGGCCTTCATCAGCCACGCTGGTCATTCGGTCTCCCGATGCCGCTACCGCTCACGCTCGGAGTACGCTCGGACCCGCAACCGCTGCGGTCGACTTGACGGCGACAGGTAGTAACGAGGCTGGCGCCGCGGAAACGGCCGCGCCCTTCGAACGCCTCTCTCGGGGTCGGGGATGCCGCTTTCATTTCAGTTTTGCCGCAGCTCCGCTCGACCCCGCCGCTCGATGAGGCGTCCGCGGGAGCCGCCCGCCCCGGCGCGTGATCTCGGCCCGGTCTCCTCGGGCGGCTGCGGCAGGTGCCGACGACTCCCGGGATGAGTCAGGTGGGCGGCGAGGTGTCGCATCCTCCCATCTCCGCTTAGAACGTCTTCTCCTCTGTCGCCGCTGCGCGTGCAAACGGCCGATCCATGCCGACTCTTCTTCCTTGGCGCTAATGAAGCCTCGCAGGTGCCGCCGCCGCTACCCTGACGCAAGCCCGGGCTCTCTGCATTTGTCACAAGCTCGCCTGTGCTATTTCAGTGATTCTGCCGCTCTGTCTCTGTCCACCCCTCCTCCTCCTCCTCCATCTCCTCCTCCTCCGTCACTCCCCACATTTTTTTTTTTTTTT